TACACCAGCCAACAGAGAATATACCCTTTTGGAGATAAAAAAGAATAACCCCTTTCCTATTATACGTGGATACATAGCAAAATATATGTACATGAAAAGTTAAAACGACGTATAATTTGAAATGGTAATGCTCCAAACCGGACGTCCGTCTGCCCGGACGCTTCGTTGTTGGGCCACAACGCCAGTGCTCCTTCATTAAAAAAACTGCTCATCCACTTGTTCCTATCCACTCGTTACTCTTCTTATCGCTCTTAACTGCTCGCTTGCCGCCTGCGAGCGCATGGCCGCTGGCCCACCGAGACGCAGCACGCGGCCGCCTTCGAGGCGCACCGCTCAACCGCTGGCCTTGCTAGGCACAACGCGAGCCTGCCTCCTTGTCGAGAAGTTCGGCTGCCGCCCCTGCCAGGGGCGGCGCGCTGCTGCCTTCACGTGGCCAAGGCCTCCCCGTCGCTCGTGGGACCGATGCCTCCCTTTCACGATGTGTAGCCACTGTCGCCAATCCGCCGCCTACAAGCGCCGTCGTGCCGTTGCCTCCGGTGAACATCACACACCAACAAGCCTCCATTCTGGCGAGTGGCAAGGAGATGTTGCGTTGAAAGCGCATGTTGCAAGAGTATGTTTCAATTATTTCCGGGGTATGTTGCAAGTGTTTCATATGAATGTTGCAAAAATAGATCGTGATGTTGCACATGTTGCAATAGTTGTACACGTATGTTGCAAGTGTCCGCTCTAAATGTTTCATCTGCTTTTTTTAGACATATGTTGCAAGTGTGCTTATTTGGATGTTGTGTATGTTTCACACATATGTTGCAAGAGTATGTTTGAAATGTTTTAGGTGTTTCAGTCTTATGTTTCAATAAGTGTTTTCATGTTGCAAGTTGCAAATGTTTTATCTGGATGATGCATATATTTCACACACATGCTACAAGTGTATGTTCCAAATGTTTCATCTGCTTTATACTTATGTTGCATTCAAGTGTTTCATGTTGTAAGTGTTTTGTGTTTCAGAGGTATGTTCAGAGAGTCATGGGGGCACGGCCCAGGCGCCGGGGGAAGGGGTGCTGCGAGCCGGGGGCCGACGGATGGGGCGCGTGGCGCGTCTGGGCATGATCGTCCTCATCCCGGCTCCTGGGTCCCGCTCGTGCGGAGAGAAGGGAGGGGGTCAGGGGAAAGGAGCGGCGGGCGCTGGGCGGGGCGAGACAGACGCGGGGCGGGGTACGCATGCGTGGTAGGACGAGGCAGACGGAGAAGGACTGCAACGATACAGTGGGAGTGCGGCACGTTTCTACTGGACCGTTTGGTACCGTTCGATGGAATCCTATCTCATTGAACGCTCGGGCGCTAGCAATTCCCAATTTGAAACGGAGGAAGTATTTGGTTGGTATAGGGTACTCCAATTTACCAACGTATACCTTTTCTTATGTTGAACATTTTGCTAAAAAATCTTGATCTAAAATGCTCTATATTTTCGAGAATACCTCTTGGTATCTCGAAAAGAAAGAGCATAACCATGAGAAATCTAGATAGCACATAATTAGTGAGAACTAATTGACCCCCATCGATAAAAGATTTTCTTCTACTTAGTCTCTTCTCAAAGCTCTCGTTGATCATTTCCCATCTTTTTTTTTGAAGTGGATTGGTATGCAAAGGTATCTAAAGGGAAATCTGCCCAATTAGCAACCAAACAATTTGCGAGTAATTATGTTGAAAATTCTTAGCTTGACCAAACCAAAGGAGTTTGTTTTATGAAAGTTAATTTTGAGACTTGACAATTTCTCGAAGACACAAAGCCATAACTTCATATTTTTAGCTTGCCCTCACCACTTGACCTTTTTTTTTCCACACAGGTGAAAACCGAATTTCATTACCAAAGTAACGAAATTACAGAGTTTAACAGTTTAGTAGTAACGAAAACGATAACAGGAGCGCCAACGCGTTAAATCACCACCTGACCTGAATGTTGGAAACAGTAAAAAATGGAAAAGCATGGAGCGTTTCTACATAGAACAGCAGCAGAACTAAGAGAGGGAACCTTCTGGGATTTGTACGAGACTAGCGAGTTGGGACGCGCTACCGTTTCTGTTCTCTCTTTTCTGTGACCAATGAATTCTCACGGAAGTTGTCAGGAACCCATGCGGACGCCCTAAATGGGTTAATCAAAGGTGACGAAGAAGCGATAGCATTTTCAGAAGCACACAATAACAACAACACACTTGAGCAGTACTTTTCAGCGATCGAACAGCTTTTTTCTGTCACAACAAATCAGCATGAGCATTAGCATAAGCAGCCAAATTTCAGCGAAACGAACAGGGCCTAGAGCACGTAACTAGACCACATCGGAAACGAAAACGCAAAGAAGCAACAAACGGTACGTAATTAAGAAACCAATGTGCTAAAGATTACAGAATTAAGACCTTGCCGCATTCTTGGAGCTCAAGGGAGATGCAAAGTGCAGAATAATAAACAAATGGTGTGCCGGTTGACCCAGAACGAGCGGTAGACATGCGCAGTTGTGCGAAACAAGCATGAGAGGAAACCCAGCTAGCCAATTCTAGTGCATGGAAGGGCCAATATATCCCTTGTTGATAGTACCTCCAACACCAATGCTAGCTGCTCCTTTAGAAAACGCCCCTATTGTTTCTCTGACCCCTTAAACCATGTGTTCAGACTTCAGACCTAAGTCAGCGCGCGTTTAGTTTCAGGAAGTTGGAATTTTGGGCTACTGTAACACTTTCGTTTTTATTTGACAATTAGTGTTCAAACCTGAACTAATTAGGCTCAAAACGTTCGTCTCGTAATTTCCCAACAAACTGTGCAATTAGTTTTTTTTCGTCTACATTTAATGCTCCATGCACGAGCCGCAAACATTCGATGTGATGGCTACTGTAGCACTTTTTAGGATTTTGGGTTGGACTAAACATAGGCTCATTGCAACATAACCACCTGTACTTGTCCTCCGACCTAATAATAATTGTGACCTGTACTTTAGTTAAAAAATGATGATAGTATATGCCAGTACAGCTGATGACTCACGTTTAAATAAATTTATGAGTCAAAGAAAAGTAAATTTTTCATTAAACAAGTCCAATGCTAATATATATACCATAGAATAGTTTAGTCCGTACAATTCCTAAGACCACTACTCATTATTCATGTAGCAATTTGCGATGGTTTCTTTTTTTTAAAAAAAGATACATTTACGAAGTTTACGTTGATATCATATTCACAGAATAATTTACTAAAAGATGCGCATATTTGGAAAGGAAAAACATTTAAAATCATTGCACGGGGTAGACTATAACCAACAATTTCTGTTCATGAGAAGCATCTCCAGGTTCAAGAAAGGAAAAACATTTAAAATCATTGCAAGGTAGTTATAAACCGGCAATACAGAGAGCATTTAGTCTCTATCGAACATCCGATAAAACTGGAGGCGACACATAAAAGGGCATACCCAGTGCAGAGAGTTCCCGCTCTGTGCGGGGTCTGGGGAAGGGTGTCAGTGGCAAGCCTTACCCTCGCCTATGCAATGCGAGGAGACCGCGACTCAAACCCGGGACCTTTCGGTCAAAGATGGTAAGACTCTACCGCTTGCACCAGGCCCGGCACATAGCATGGGAAAAATACGCCATCTCCTATCGGCATTTAAATTTGTTTCCCTTTCCAACCTGTTTCCCCGGCATTTTCTCCTGGCCATGCTGCGTGGATAAATGATTGGTCAGAGCTGTCTCAGGTGACCAGTATTAATTAAATAAACTTTGTTGTTTGTATTACTGGTAGCTTCCTGACAGCCTTGCTTGAATTCCAAGCGAGGCTGTGTGTGTGTTTGTTTAGCTAAGATGTGCAGGTTCCTCCTCCTTTTGCTATGTGGGGTGCAGACCTGGACTGGACATGCCTGATGAGGGTTTGTTCATCAGATGCAGAAAGCTCCCCCTGCTTCAGTTGTACTTTGGCAGTCTTTTTCATGGCTCTCTGTGTCCTGCTTTTGTGGCGATCTCATCTTGTTTTGCAATCAGGCAACAACCATGTGCCACAGATTAACAATTCAAGGACATATAAATATAGTAGTAGTATATGCTAACTTCTCTTCTGATGCAAACTGAACTGCAAATATGAACAGGTTACAGGGGAAATTGTACCTAGTCAATGGAAGCAAGATTTTTTTTTTGGCCCCCTCTTGGAGAATCCAATGGAAATAGTAGCTTGTCAAAACGGTAGAGGCGTAGAGGACAGCTTTTCTTCACTTCATTGTCAATCACCTATTTCTTTCAAGAAAGATGCCACTTGAAGAGATTCTCCAGTCAAGTCTACAGCACGAAGGGTGCTGTAATTTTCAGCATTTTGTCACCTACGAAAATCACTTTGTGAAAGCAAAGAAAACATCATCATCGAAAGACGCCCAGTACATACAAAGTTTTTAAAGCAGCACTTGCTTCTTTTCTTTTGACAAGGAGTTTTCAGTTTTAGGATCTGAACATCAAACTTTGTTACTTTAGCAAAAAGTAATAGTCAAACTATATGCATGTTACGCTTACAAAAGTGAATATAGTTACATTAGTATTTCAAATCGTCTAGTAGTACAATAGATATTATTTTATATCAATTGATAATATATGGCCCTGTTCGCTTTGCTGAAAAGACAAGCTGAAAAGTACTGTTGGCTGATTTGTTGTGAGAGAAAAACAGTGTTTCTTCGTGGAAAAAGTACGGCTCATATAAGAGAAATTAATGGTCAAGAGCACCTTCAAAGAAATTTTCAAATCGTAATACACCGTATAAAAGAGAACAAAGGAAGGCACTTTATTTGAGAACATGTTGAATTTGAAAGGATGGGTAGAATAATAGAACCACTCCTCTAAAACCGACATAAGAAATTAAAGGGATCCCATGATAAGAGAGCTAAAGGAATTTCATTCCTCATGTGTTGAACGTGCATGAAAGCAAAAGGGGCGATTTTAACCCATCTAGTGACGTAGGTTGATGTTATTTAGCAAAAGGAGATGCCCAAGTTCTCTCCCAAAAATCTAAAAGCACAATTCCTGGCTAAAGCACATCGAGCGCCTAATTCTCTATCAAAACACGCTGCTCCAGAGCCTCCAGCACCTACAGCATTCCCTCAAACTTTTTGCACAATTTTCGTAAGTAAACCCTGCACTGCACCGGCTGTGTTGAATGAACTATATTAAGTTTGTGCATTTCAGGACCGTCCAACGCCTTTGATGTATGTATTTTTTTTTATCTATATGAATGAACTTGGAACAGTGCAATATGGTCTCATCATGGAGCAGATGTCATGCGCGAGGCGAGGCTCGATCAGGTGAGACGGCTGTGGTGTGGCGTGCGGCACCAATCATTCTGCAGGTCAATGTCTCGAGCGGAGCCTGAGTGCCTGACAAAATTCAGAGAAACCAACCAAGCAGAACTGAACAGAAGGCTCACACCAGCTGCCAGCGGCACGAACGACACCTTACTGCAGTTTTTTCTTTCCCTTTGCAATAAAACAATGACCGCCCAATCACTTCCCAGCAAATCATGCGTGGGCGGCACCAAACGGCCGATGGCAACAGGTGAATGAAACGAAACCCTGAACTGAAAGCTATGGCTTCTTGTCAACGGCGACCAATCATCCCCATCACCCTCCTCCGCACATATAAACAAAATATTAGTGCCACAACTCGACCACTTCCACGCACCCCCAACTAATCAAAATTTCACAAGCAACTTAACTTTTTTTTAATAAACACAAGCAACTTAATAAGGGTAGAGAAGAAAGAAAAAACTATCATTATCTTTGTTTTTTAGTTGGGCACACGGCTACACTCAGAGTCTCAGATTATAAAATGGCTCCAAGAAGTCACTGATACATTTATGATTTGATTTAGGAAGCAGCCACTGACACATTTTCATTTACCATTTCAGTGTAGAGACGCTAACCACCAATGTGAAGTGCAGTGATATTTATATATAATATGCTTTCTATCACGAGCTAAAGTGTAAGGAATACTACTAGTATGAAATAAAAGATGTCCAATTAGAGAGAAGGGATTTGGGCCAAGTAGGCAGTAGTGGAGGTAAAAAGCGAGGGAGGGAAGGGAAGCCAAGAACAACTCCAAGTGTGCATGCGTGTATGTGATGTGCGCACGCACATACATGCGGCCTAGCAACACGGGTATCCTAGTGGAGTAGCGGTAGTATTCAAAAGTCGGCCACAAGCTCCAAGCCACGGCCCAATCGCCGGCTGACACTCACAAGAACCTGCCTCCCTCTGGATAGCTATCTCTTTTCTAGTGCTCAGGGAAAGCTAGCTCAGAGCTGAGAGAAGAAAGCAAGGAGACTAGGAGAGGCAGGAGAAAAAAAAACCCAGAGAGGTTGAGCAAGAACCGAGGAGGATCGCCTTTTGTCCCTCCTGCCAAGGAGTAGCCTGCCGGCGCCGCGAGAGATCAAGAGGAGGCGCTGTTCAGGTGAAATTTTGCTCTGTTTTGGGTGGGGTCTCGAGTTCTCTGTGGTGTTTGGTGATGTAATTTGGAGTGTGATTTGAAGGTGGTTAGGGTCCTCTGCTAGTTTAGGTGCGGTGGTTTCGTTAATTTGTGGCTGCGGCGGTCAAATTGTTAAGGGATAAGTGATTTTGGGGTCACATGGTTCACGATTCCGGTTGTGTTCGGTTCAGTTCAGAGGTGTTCTTGACTCCAATCTAATTCGTTCATAAAGTCGATCCCTTTTCAGGTTGAGAATCAACCTGTTTGCAATTGATTCCAGTTTTCACTCACAAAGATTCCACCTTTCTCCCCATGAGATATCTCCTCCAATCCCATGTTCATCTTGTTTGATTTGCAGCGACGACAGGAATTCTTCCTGTTCAGAGAGAGAAATCCTTTAATAATAATTGTTACAGTGCTCTTGAAATCTTTATCTTGTTCCGACTGAGATGCCGAAAAAGGCAAAAAGAAATCTAACCTTTCTTTCAGTCCTGTGATTCCTACAGGGGGAGGAGAAGAGGAGGAACGCCGGGGGGAGAGATGATGCGGGAGATGTATATGGACGTGCTGCCGCCGGTGGACCACATAGCCGCACGGAGCAACTGGTTCCCGGCCGCGGCGCCTCTCTGGACGGCGGAGGAGAACAAGCGGTTCGAGTCTGCGCTCGCCGGGCTCGACCTTGGCCGCCCGGACTGGGAGAAGGTGGCGCGGGCCATCCCCGGCCGGACGGTCCGCGAGGTCGTCAGCCATTTCAAGAACCTCCAGCTCGACGTCCAGCAGATCGAGAGCGGCCAGGTGCCCTTGCCGGTCTACGGCGGCGGGGCCAGCTCGTTCACTCTGCAGTGGGACAGCAATGGCGGCTACGGCCCCGGGGACTTCAGGCACGGGTACCGCTTCGGCGTAGGCTGCGGGAAGCGGCACCACGGCCGCACGCCGGAGCAGGAGAGGAAGAAGGGCGTGCCATGGACGGAGGAGGAGCACAAGTGAGTATATTACTGCATACGACTTCTGGGTTCTGCTCTGTTCCGAGAGCGATTGCTCTGCGTCATGCACAAGACTGGCGAGAGTTTCCATCTTGGATAGTTGAATTTCACCATCATCCCATAGGGTTTACATCATCTGAGTAGATTTGCAACTTGCAATTAATCAACTATCAACAATTAATTGCATTTAATCCGGGGAATTTTCCTTATCGAGTAGGATCTGACTCTCTAGGACAGTCATGTAGCTTGATGTACATATGATGGCCTTAGGCCCTGCCCGTAGCTAGTACTATAATTCAACCAAATTGAAGCAAGAATTGATCAAAGGTTACTGAACAAGATCATGTTTTTCTTCTTCGGTCAGGTTGTTTCTCTTAGGCCTGAAGAAATATGGCAAGGGGGATTGGAGGAACATATCGCGCAACTTCGTTCAGACGAGGACGCCTACTCAGGTGGCCAGTCATGCGCAGAAGTACTTCATCAGGCAAACCTCCGGCGGCAAGGACAAGAGGAGATCCAGCATTCATGACATTACCACGGTTAACCTGACGGACGAGCAGCCTCCCTCGCCATCCCAGTCCTCTCTGATCACCAACCAGTCGAATGCATCAGTTCCGACTGCGGGGATAGGCCAGTTCTCATTGGCAGCCGATGCCAAGCAACACGGTGCTGGAAATCTGCCCTTCAATTCACCAAGCCGGACCTCTGTGATGGCGACTTACCGGATGGATTTGCAAGATCAAGGTCTGCAGTGTGGCCCTCTACATGATCAATTGGTCGCCAACCAGAGCGTTCTGTTCTAGGTGAAATCCACTCAGCACCATGGATCAGGTGTCTAGTGTATAATACTTATGGTCTTGCTGTAGCTTCAGCGCCTGTATTGAAGTAATTAGCCAATTGGGAGCATAACAGAAAGGGGATCTTCCCTCCATGGTGGTCCATAATTTGTTGGTGATACCGAGAATGTAACAAAAAGAACGCCAAGAATTCGATGCCTTGGTATTTTCAGACTGTTACTTGAGTGGTATGGCTGTAAACATATCATGCATCCTATGAAGTGGACTTGCATTCAATCATGGATCCTGCTTTTGCTTGCCGTGGATCAGCAGAACCTAATTCTAGATCCTTCTGGTCAACTGATGTATCCGTAACCTTTCTGACCATCTGATTCTGCTGTCTCTGAAGATGATGCCTTATATTGAGGGTTTCAGAGTTCAAATCATGCTGTAGTCCAGACATATTTATCCATAGTAATCAGTTTACCTATTGGTGCCTGCCAAATTATGTGTTTGGACAAGTTTCATTTTCGCGGATGAACACAATTTTTTTTGAAGAGAAGATAAACGAAATTGAGTCTGCAATGAGTCATTGAGCATTGCTACTACTTGTCTTTTGCTCGTCTAGTCCACTTTTTCTCGATTCGTTATTTTCTTTTAGAAATAACACCTTTTCTTAAATCCGTGGATTGACCCTCCATTGTTGAGCAGTCCTATGTGGCATTTTCTATCGATGATGCTAGCTCCACCAAATGCCTGTATGAGATTGGCAATGAGTCAGAGTTCCACTACCTTGGCATCTCATGCTTTCTCTGCATCCATTTGCATCAGCTTTTGCAATTCCTTTTTGGCCCTGTTGTTTCCCTTGCTCAGAAAGGCATCCACAGATATGAGGCAGATCCTTGTGCAAACACCAAACAGTGCTCTCTGTAGCCAAGCCAAATGCAGCCATCTTCTGTGGGTGCTTGTGCTTTTCTGGCTCCTCACTCTGCAAGTTGCAGCAATTGCAGAACACAAGGCACTCACTGATGATGGTGGCACTGTTCCAGAGAAGCTTCTGGTGTGGGTGTGGCTATTCTGCCTCGCTGAATTGTTGAGCTTGCCGTCAGGGCTGCAGGCTGCTGTAATATGTGAAGCCTGAACTTCAGGCTAGTTTCCACTCCCAGTCACCTTCTCTGATGTCTCACTGAGTCCACCTGATTCAGTTCAGTGAACAACCATCCAGTTTATTTATCAACACGAAAAGCCAAAACGATGTTTCTTTTTTTTTTATTATTTCGTCGATGGAATAAAACTTTTGAATGCGATTTGCCGACGGTGGCCTTGTTTAGAACGCCTCAAAATTCCAAGTTTTTTCACTCTCTCTCCATCACATCAATTTTTAGACGCATGCATGGAGCATTAAATGTAGGTAAAAAAATAACTAATTACACAGTTTGGTTGTAAATCACGAGACGAATCTTTTGAGCCTAGTTAGTCCATGATTGGACAAAGTTTGTCAAATACAAACGAAACGTGCTATAGTGTGCAGATTGCAAAAAATTGCAATCTAAACAAAGCCTGTATGTCATTTTGCCATGAGGTATTTTGGTGATGCAATTTGTCGTTTTTCGACGGCTTGTGTGTTACGGAACCAAGGAGGACACACGCTGGGAGAGGCCGTGTGGAACATCACTTCGTGTTGATTCAACTGGAAGGGACTTCTCCACCTCTTTTTTATTTCTTTCAGACACTTAACGGGTAAGTTTCAGATTGCTTTCAGCCGTCATACTCTTGGCTGCTTACCAGGAGCTGTTCTAAATCGGTTAATGCTCCAAGTTGCAATGTGAACGCGTCCGCAGGACATTTGTACCCAAACCTCAAATATAGTAGACCGCACATTCTCTGTTTCTACTTGCTTTTCGCTCCTTTGCCACTTGGTAAACTGCAGTTCCAAACTTTTCGTTGGCGATGAGCAGAAGCCAGCACGATCTGCGTAGAAAAGTGAAACACCGGTGATTCCACACACGCAAAGTCCCAGCATAGATGAGAAGCAGGGATGTTAAGTTTTGTCTTTCTAGGTCATTAGTTAGGGTCTATTTGGATCACTTGGACTAACAGCTACGAGGTAGTAACTTAAAAAAAGTCACTCCAGCCAAACATACGGACTAATAGGTTAGACTTTAATTCAGCCCTCGACTAGTTCATTAGAGCATCTCCAGTAGGGCCCTCAAACAGACCCTAAACTAAAACTTGGGGACTCGGACAAAAAATAGAGGTCCAACATGCTCCTGTAGAGCCCTAAAAAATGAGAGACTATCAAATTACCCACCTGGCTCTCATTCCTTGGGACTCTCCACCTAGCTCCTACTTGGTCATTGCAGCGGCATGAGTCCTCTCCCGACGAGCTCTAACGCCGGCCATGTAGCTCTCTCCTCCCCAGTGACTTGGAGGCCCCAACCACGTGGCCTCCTGGAGGATCCCAATGACCTCTCGGTGACCAGGAGACTTCGGCCGCATAGCCTCCTAGCCGTCGCGTGGCCTCCCGGTAGGTCCCAAACTCGGCCGCATTACTCCTCCCTGCCTCTCGATGTTCCTGCCCTGGTCGCTCCTCCTGGCGACTCGAGCGGCTAGCGATCCGAGCAGATCTAGGCATTCCCGTCCCAGCAACAGGAGCGACAAGCGACACTAGTGGTAGAGGATGTATGTGTTCCCTGGTGTTCCCCTCCGTGACCCAGGCCAGTCCTCACTGAGCGAAGAAGAGGAGAGGGCATGGCAAGTGGGTCCCGTATGTCATTGTCTGTTGGAATGGATTTTGAGGGCTCCTGTTGAAGTTAATGTAAAAAATGAGCCTAAAAATAGGAGTCCTCAAATCAAAAGTAGGGCCCTAATTTTAGGGCTCTTGCTGCAATTGCTCTTTGTTGGATAAACCCACACAATAGAACTAATAGGTGTCTATGGAACTTTTATTTGGGAGTAAAATGCGCCCTAGATCCTTAACTTTTCATGGATTCTCAGTTGGTTCCTCGAACTAAAAAGGTGACTATCTGGGTCCTCAATCTACTACTAATTCTCACCTAGGTCCTCAAACAAAAAAGTGACCATCCAAGTCCTCATTCTACCGTTGCGCTCGACTAAAGGTACAAAACTCACCACATCACCGCCACCTCCCTCTCAATATCTCTCCCTTTGCAATCCCACCCTCCTGTAGTCCACCTCTCTATGTTTGTTCCATGGGCGCTGAGCATGTGCATTTGGAGCCCATGCATAGCAGGCGAGCACAGGACCGATAGGAGACAGAGGGGAGAGTGGACGTGGAGGAGATGGGGGAGGGAGGGGGATCTGCAAGTTTCGCATGGTCTCATTCACGTTGGCACATCCACGTAGGCATATATAGAGGTGGCGTGGTGGGATTTGAACTTCTACTCGGGCGCGGCATTATTTGAAGGACCCAATTGGTCACTTCTTTAGTTGGAGGACCCAAGTGAGAATCCATAGTAGAAAGGGTAAAATGGCCGTAGACAAAAAAAGAAAGGAAGGTAATTGTATGGCCACGTTATATGAATAAAAAGATTAGGTGGAAAAGAAGTTTGGCCTATTGAAATGATCTTACCGAAACAATGATTTAAGATTTTGACTAGAATTTAGAAACTAGATTTAAAGATGGATTTTGAGAAAAAATTATAAGACTTGATATAAACTTCTTTTTAAAACTTCAATTTTAAAATAGGACAATACTGCTTTGAGACTGTTCCAATTTTAAAAACTTATTAATCTTTTCACCATTCACATAATAAAATTGATGCAAACATCGTGATGGCAAGCAAACAATTAAATTAAATTATTAAAAATAGAAAATTATATTTTTTTCGCTATCTAAGTACTCAAGAAATTAACTAAAATAGTTTAATTTTAGAAAAACAATTAAAAATGTTTATTTTATTTAGTGTTTTATATTCACAACCCAAAATGAAAATTTTAGGTTATGACAGATAATTGCTATGGTAATTGTCATGGCCTAGTCATGGCATGTTCAATTTCATCTTCATCATGAGCATCATGTGCATTTGAAATTCAAATTGAAAACCAAACTGTCAAGGAACTGGACAAAAACTGCACTCTACCTATTTTGGCGAAGCGTTTGTCAAACACGACGGAGCGTCCATTAAAACTTTATCATAGATAGATAGCTATCAAGCACTCGTGCAATGACGGAGCGTCCAACCACAAGGACGGATGGTCTGTCAAAATCAGCCATGCAAAAATGTGAGGTGTCATTAGTGGAGCTCACTTGGCCCCACAAGTCACCACACCTGTCCACACTTTGACCAGCACGACACATAGCACTAGCAGAGCTCATTCAGCTCATTCCCACTCCCACTCTCTCTCTCTCTCTCTCTACACTCTCTCACATCCAAGCAAGGGGAAGGAGAAGAAGGGGAGGATTTGAGGCTACCCCAGCTGCTAAGCACCATGGACTGATCAAGAGGTCGAGCACCACAAGGGGTGGGGAGAGAAGAGGGAGGAGCCCTCTCTTCCTCACCACATTGGAGCTAGGAAGAGGTGAAGCAAGCAAGAAGAAGGAGCCCGAGGAGCTAGGGGTTGGATCTTGGTTCTCCATCACTTTGAGAAGCTTCACAGCCACTAGTAGCAACCTTGGTGAGTATGAATCGAGCTCAACACCATTTCTTGCTTCACATGGTCACATACACCTAGAAACCTTCACCAATGACCTAGAGCTAGTTTGCACACAATGTAGCTTCAACCAACTAGCTAGATATGCTCTATAGTGTCTTAGGAACCCACACTAGCAAGGAATTTGACATGAAAGAACCCTAAAGCAATATTTCCATTTCGAGATGCAATATTCTGCATTGAACAACATTCCACGGATTGACGGATCGTCCGCGAATGCCACACATACCTAATAACTCCACGGAGCGTCCGCCTGAATTATAAAATTGACATACCAAACTATTTAGCTTCGGGTTCTATCAATTTAATTTCATAGATCGTCTGCGGTCAAGGACGGATCATCCGTGAAGTCC